CGGTTCAGTGACACAAAATCGATTTTCTAAACTTGAACTAGGAAGGAAGCTCCTGAAAAAGTAACGGCCCACAAAATTAAATCATTTGGCATTTAGCGATGGAATTATTTATGTATAACGAACAAACGAACCCCGTGGCTAGCGTGAAATTAAATATTTTGGAAAGTGGAAAGTCGCACAGAACAAAATACAAAACGAAACCGATTTGATTTGATTTGTTTTTGAGTGAAATATTTATACAGAACGTGTGCACTTCACAGTCTTCCATAATCGTGTTGATTATTTCGCATTCATTTTGTTCAGTTTGGAATTCCTCTTTCGGCTCTTTGTTGCCAGATAAGCAGCTGTGGGAGTTTCGTTTTGTGTCTCTTAAAGTCCCTCGGCAGCTTAACGCAAAACATAACTCAGAATGTATGTTTTGAATGCCTAAATGTTTGTCATACCAGCCAAGCAGCCCTACAAGGACTACTGAAGCTTGTCTTCTATGCGATTTCGAAAGGGCAGAGCCGAAAAACAAATGACTTCTCACTTGTCACACGGTTTGCTTGGCGTTTCCACCCTCACAGCTCACAATCCACAGCCCACAGCAGCATTTTCCCCGTTGCCGTTGTCGTTGTCCCTCCCGGCTCTAAGTAGTCAATATTGTGAACCAGAGACAACCTTGCCGACAAGCACTTGACACCAACAAGTTAGACACTTAATGTTCATACATACGTACTGAGAATGTAACAAGACATGTTCCCTCGTCTCCTGTTTCTAGTCTGTCTCCGGTTCTGGTTCTCTGTCTGTGTATGTACTTTTGTAGACATGCTTAACGCTTATTTTATAGTAATATATGCCCCTTCGAGCAGAGCTTAGGGTGGGCCATTGCCATTGGGTGGGTTTGGGTTGGAGGAGCAGCCCCGGATGAAGCCAAGCGCAGCGGAAATGCTCAAGTTTAGTACTCACTCTCAGGAGCTCATATCTATCCATGTATGTAACATATATTCTATGGACTTTTTTTTGTCTATTTGCTTAAGCGACACTCTGACATTGATTCGACAATCAGCTACTAGCTCAAGGTAACACGCATCTGCTTTATCTCTTCAATATCGCTCTTCGGAAGTCTTTAAAGTGTGTGCCAGCTTCGTGATGTTCGCTACCTAGAACTCTTGTTTGCTCTGTGTGCTTGTAGCCTTTAGCCTGTCTGTTGCATATTTATCGTGAATGTGTGCGTGTGTGTGTGTGTTTGTAGTGTGTTCTCCGACAGGAGTCAGTTCTCTGAGGACAGGAGCTGCTGCCGGAAGTTGACTCTGACCTAGGATTGTCTTCTGTTTGCTCCGATTGTAGCTGTGTGTTTGATGATGACAGGGAAATGACAGGGGGGAATGCTGATTCCGAGTATCCACTTGTTTTGCTTATGGATGGAAAACGCTTTATGCTCGCATGTGCAATATGCATTTTAATCCGGCATCCATCGGCATATCAAACGGAAAACAGTATAGACATTATCTAACTTTCACCTGACATCAGCCGGATGGAGATGGAGGTGGGCCTGGCTTGGGCTTCCTGTGGCGCCTTTGTCTCAATATTGATTGTCCTGGCGCCGAGTCAAATTCAATTACCAGGATCGAGCTACGTATTCCGGAAGCTGCCTTGTGCTCCTCACCATGAAGTTTTTCCGTAGGAGGAGGAGCGTGCTAAAAATAGCCGTTGCCTGGCAGCTGAGCGCATTCAGTAGCTGGCATTTGGACAGGACTACAAAAAGAACTTTCATCCTGTTCTGCGTGGGTGTGTGTGTGTGTGTGTGTGGGCATAATACGTTTCAGGTATTTTACACATTACGTATACGCAACGCTGGCACATGCATCATTAAAAATTCAGCAAGTGTAAATTAAAAAGAGTCTGACAAGCCTGCCATCGCCATCCTGCACGTACATGCACATACATACATATGTGCATCATTTTCTTCTCGCTTTGTTTCTGATATTTATTTTCAATAAGAGCACGTGCTGGGTTATAAATGTGCACGGATGGGACACAGCCACAGTGGAAGAATAGAAATTTGCAGCTCAAATTGGTTGATGGAATAACTATAACAAGTTATTGTTGCTTAACTTGTTCCCTGAAATATACACAAGGGTTAAGGGGGAAACGAATTCCCCAGGTACAAGTATCAGAGAAGTTTTACCAATAACTTTCCACACAGTGTGCTCGGCACAGACTCGTCCTGGATGACGTGGCGTCAAATGCTTAATTACATTTCCAGCGCACGCAGCCAGAGATCCTGGCTCTGCTCATGCGATGCCATGCCGTGCCGCATCCATCATGCAGGAGGCACAGGATGCTCATCGACTAAGCAGTGGCGCGCGATTGATGCTGCTATCACATGTCCTTAGCCGTGTCTATCTGCCAGTCAGTCAGTGCGTTCGTCAGTCAGTCAGTCGGTCGGCTGATATGAGTACACCCCTGCGCCATTTCCCGGGCGTAACTTTATGACATTTTCAATTTTCAGTTTTTCATTTTGCACCTTCCTAGGGCTTTTGTCAGAGCTGCCGGATGTTGCCTTTGAGTTTATTTGCATGTGTGTGTGTGTGTGTATGTCTGTGCCTGTGGGCATGTCAAGTCGATAAAACTGTTGGACTGTGCAGAGCTCTGCCTGTGCCTCCGACTACACCTCCCAGCAATCAGCCAGTCCCCAACTATTGTCGGGGCGCTCACAGGCCCATCGCCTTTGTCCCTTTCTGGGGCGCCACATTTAAACTGTCATTGTCATTTAAATGTCTTTTGACTGTTACTGTCGCCCACACATAGGATACATCCCACATCTCGTATGAGTTACCACCCACTCACTGCCGAGCCATTCACAAATATTAAATTGAACACGGAGAACAGTGGCTTTTTGTTTAAGCGCCTCAGCACAGAGGTGGGTGCCTGGATGCCTGGCTGCCTGGCTGCCTGGGTGCCTGTGTGCCAGGAACAGGTAACAGGTTGCCAGAGGCAATGCATTTTATTTATAGCTTCATAATTAAATCTTGTTGTGGCTGAACTACACACAATCCAATGAGCAAAGGAAAATAAAATCAAACAGAAAAATTAATTTAATTTCTCATACAACAAGATTTTTAATATAGTAAATTGTCCTTCGTGCGTTCTTCTTCCTAGAAAATGTACCTATGTTTAAATTAAATATATTTTTTAGCTGAAATTTCACCGCATTTAATGGGCAATGTACTCCATGGTCATTTCTGTGTAAAGAAACTTTTAAATATTGTCTTTCTGTCAATGATAAACAAAGGCAGAATTATTACAGCGCGTACCCGTGTACTCAAGGACAGATAAAGAGATTAAATTTCAAAATGCAAAGTTTAACCGCTGAAATGGAGTTCACTGATATCATTTTCTCACGGCAGTGCCTGTTGTAATTTGCTTTTGAATGCTACGCTTTTTTCTCTCTTTGAACTAATTGAACACTTATATCACTTTATTCTCTGATAAAAATATATAAAATGTACTATGTAAAAATAACCATTTACTGCACAAAATGTAGCTTCTACCGAAAATTTAGTTATGCTTTAATACACTAATAGACTTAACGACATAACAAAACACACAAAGTATTAAAAGTATATTTTTGTAATCCGTGAATTATAATAATTATAATCGACTGATTGCCATTTGCCTTTGCCAATATGTTTCTGTTAATATGCGTAATTAATTCATTGCCACATTTACATGCCAACTGTCATAAGAGCTAAAGTAGATGATAAAATAATTTGCATTCAAGTTGGGTTAAGAGTTAAATTCATTTGTGCTTTAAATGCGGTAATGCACTGCAATGCACTAGCAACTTAACGCTGTCCCTTTCAGCCATCCTGCTGTGTTTGCCATGGCTAAACCAGTTTAATGGTAACTCAAACATGGCCAACAGCCACCACACAGTTGTACACTTTATCAAACACAAATCGTGTACATATATGCATACATCCACCTATATGTATACTCTATGCAGACGGTACAGCAAAGTTGAATTTATACATACGCGTGTCTAAAATCGAAAGCAAGAAAATGTATCTTTGTGTTTGTTCCACGCTCATTGCCACCGCAAAGCCAACGCACAAACTCTCTCACATACTCGTACAACGCGTGTGGCACCACGTTAACGTTATTTGTATGATTGGGTTCTCGGCGGAGGGTCCCTTTTCCTGTCCCTGTCGCCCTCCCTTTGTGTGTGCGATTGCCATAGCAGCCGCATGACGACGTGTTCAATATTCAATTAATCATTTCGTGTATTTATGGCTTATGCTGGTCCGCATCGTGCTGCATTTTCAACGCTGAAACGGTGAAAACCTGAGTCAAACAACCATCCCCCCTCCAGGCTGTGGTCCTGGCCAGAAGCTGATATAGCACCAGATTTAATAACATTACAAATATGACGGAATTGGAAAGCATAAATCGCGATCGAAGGGGGATGCTTTAAAAAGAGTCACAGAAGGGTAGACTACGAGTTGTTTTTTCTATAAAATGATATATTTTCATTTTTAAACGATGCACAAATATTTGTTTTTGAGCTGGCTTCGAGAAATGTTAACATCAATGTTTGTTTTTCCACAAAATAGTGATGCAAAAATTAAATTCATAAATTCAAGGTTTTTTTTTCGTTTGCATTCCCAGAATTGGTGAAAATTTTGCATCCTTGTTAAAGCACTTCGATGGCAGCTGCCCTAAAAGTATGCAACTATTTTTGTCCTTGAATATATTATACATTTTGGCATTGCTAATTGGATGATGGAGAGGTGTAATCAGGCTTCGAAATGCATACTACATGATGATATTTTCCACATTTAATTTTGCAACATTTGATGAAGATATATTCATTTACTTACCGGTTCGACTTTTCCTTGTGTTACTCATCGCAATTTCTTTTGCAGATATCGATTGGCTCACTGGCAACATGATGCGCATTTCGCTGGCAAAACACAAAATTAAAATAAAATTTTAAAGCAACAGCGCTTCGGTCTGCCCACCGGTCCGAGGATCAAGGCCTCCGCATTAAAAGTCAACTGTGGATGACTGACGCCGCGGGGGGCAAACGGGCAATTTAGTAACTTTCCTCCGTTAATTTGCATACAACAAAAGGCACAAAAAAACCACCTGCTAATTCTCGCACAGACACAGACACAAATTCAGATATAGATACACACAGAGTCGCTCCGGAATTCAGAATTCAGCATCCAGAATCGCATCGCGGTCATAGAAATCGGTGTAGCATGTCAAGTGGACGCAGCGCACGCCTACCGCCCACGCCCTCGCATACCACCAACAACAAGCACCGGGTGGCAGCCGCAGCCGCAGCAGCAGCAGCAGCGGCGGCAGCTGCCTCAGAGCCCAACAGCAACAGCATGATGCAGTACAGCAGTAGCCATGCCACAGCCCCCACCTCGGCGGCCGCCACAGCTGCAACGTCTGCCATGGGAATGGGTGGGGGCATGGGAGTGGGCGGGGGCATGGCCATGGGCATGGCTGGTGGCATGGGTATGGGTGGCATGGGATTGGGCAGCAACATGTCCGTCGGCGTTCCACCATTCAACCTTGGCTCCGGCATGGGCATGGGCATCTCCACTGTCAGCGATGCCAGCGTCAGCGTGGAGCGCATACCCGTCGACACCATCGATGCCCTGGGACCCGAGCTGGCCGTGGCCACCACACAGATGCTCGAGAATCTCTCCGAGAATGAGCGCAAGATGATCATCGAGGTGCTCAACAGGGATGAGTCGGTGCGACAGCGAGATGCCACCAGAATGATGTGAGTACTGAATGCTACAATCCATTTCTTTCTATTTCTTATTATATTCAAAGAGTTCCTGGATGGATAGATGGGTTATGATATGATGATATCGAGGGCTGATTGGAGAACCTGTCATACAGCCCTCGAGCTCACTCATATTACCCTCTGTCTCTGTCCGGGAACTACTTACTCTATTTGATTTTCTCGATTTGCTTTGCTAGTTGCTACTTTATTTGAAACCCGCACCAGAGTTGCTCACCGAGCTGCTTCATTGCACTTTTTGGGACCAACAAAGTCAAGCAATTTCCCGTCCCTAATCTACTTATTCTCTTGCTTCCTAATTAAATGTGCCAGAAATAAGTTTTTCGGCAGCAGACAATGCACATGCCCGGGAAGCTGCACTTGCACTTGCACCCCGCACTCCAATTGCAGATGCTAATGCACTTAGAACAAGCATTTTATTGACTGCAAAAACTTTGCCATCGTCGTCGAGTGGCATCCTTTGCTGCTGGCAGGCAGCGTGCCCTACGTCTACGGTGGCTAGGTCCTACCTACGCACGTCTCGAACATTCGAAAACCGCAATTTATGGCCCGACATTTGTGCAGAGCAATGCGGTGTGCGGGCAGCGGAATAGAGAGTATTCTGCACTGAGCAAAAAAATTAAACACTTTCTTTGTAAATCTCAGGTTTGGTGTTGCATTAAAAATAATATTAATTTAAGCTATTTCAGTACATCTGGAGGCTGCAAATTTTGAAAACCTTTTGACTATTCTATTCATCAAGAAAAAAGGGTTCACAGATTTTTACTTAATACTCCAATCTATGCCAAATAATAAAAAATTAAAATTAAATTTAAATTTAGTTCAATGTTAGAACATTTTCTGGTTCTTGATGATTTCATTTTTAGTTCGAAGTTTTTCCCGCAGTGTGTCGTCTGCTGATTGGGATAACGGGATATGTGCCTGGGTCACGACTCACCTGGCGGCACCTGGGCGACAAATCACGCGCCCCTCGCAGTAGCATTCATCCAGTCAGGGGTCGGTCCCGGTCCCTGTCCTTGGCAGTCTCTGGCAGTGCTCCTTGCCGGCGGTATTAAATTGATATGCGCACAAAATTGTTTTCATTTGGCAAGCGTCTTTTTGTACCAGTTGCCAGCGTCTCCTGGTGGCTCTGGTGAGCCCGTTGGGTGGTGGGCAGAGGCACCAGCACTGAGCTTGTTTCGCCTCCTTTTCAATAGCTTGGGACAAACACACTCGAGGAGCAACAATTTATCGCAGCTTGGGCATGCTGACACTGGCTGCTGTATTGTTTTTTCTTCTATGCGCAATGCTCTCTCTCCTCGTGTACTTAATGCGTCGTTAGCGAGCAGAACCCGAACCAGAACGGAGGCTGCGAGGTGGCTTGAAGGTAGTCAGATTCCAGTTTTATGTTGCATTGGCATTGGCATTCAAATAACTTGAAAGTGTTTTCATTGTTACGCCTGTCGCTGCGACTGCCGCTGCTGCTGCTGCCACAAAATGGAAAGCAATTTTATTGTCCTCCGTCTCCTTGTCGACATCCCCACTCCCCATTTGGGCATGACATGCGTCGACGTACACGCTTTCCCTTTTAGACAATTATTTTTTAGGCCTTGTGGGCCTCGATTTGGGCCTCGATTTCGATCGATACGCCCAGTCATCGATTGGTTGAATTTCACTTTAAGCCATAAAGTACATGGCAATTTTTTTCTCATTTGAAGGCTGTTTGTAGGTGCCATGGAACTGCCATGCACTGCCATTTAAATCCAGAGATTTTAAAGCTTGTATTTCAGTTTGCCAACCGCGAAAATTAACGATATTTAAAGAGTGATTTTCCCTGAAATATATGCTACTTTTAAAGAGTAAATTTATCATATTTCCTCACACTGAAAAATCGATGACGAACTTATTGCTTTGGAAAGGGGATTGTAGCTGGTGCATAATTAATTAATTTTATGATGCCCAGCACTGCTCGAAATGCAATCACAGTCGTGTACTTAAAAGTTATGACAGCCATTAATGACTCCGGGGCATGGGACATGGAACATGGAACATGGCACAGACGTATGGATACTTGCGAGTGTGTCGTAACTTGTCGTCCCCCGGCCTGGCTAAAATAATTTAATGATGGTTTTTTGTGGCCGGCATATAAACAGCTTGACCCACCCACCTCCGCACCATCATCTCAAATAATCTACACACATAAATCCTTTCCGCTGGCAACAGCGCTCCTTTCCTTTCCTATTCCTTTCAAATCAATTTTCTTTGCATCGCATCCCATTCCCATTCTCATCCCATAGCACCGTCCACTCTCTGGGATCGGTTGGCTGGGCTCATTTACTCGTTTCAGCTGAAGTGCGGCTCTCAGGCGGCTCTGATTGCTTAATCATGTTGGTCACTGTTGTAACGGAAATAGCTAAATTGAAAAACGCCATTGGAGATTGGCAGTGGCAGTGGCCCAGGAAGGATGTGCCTGCCGTCCGAGTGGGTCACATGTGGCAGGTCTCCGTCACCCTGGCCACGCGTGGTCTGCCACCCACCCAGCTGGGGCAACAATTGATGCTTTCATCGGCATTAAGTCCGCTAAGGCAACAATAAAGAGCCCTCCTGCTTATGAAACCCTGATGAATGGAAATGCAAAGTGTCCCCTGCTGAGTGCCGCCATTCAAGCATGCCCCGGCTGGGCTCACTGATTATGCAAATAATTCAGAATTCAGAATATAATACTCATACGTAAAAGCTATTCCTTTGTGTGGCAACATCTCGGATTTTAGAGCGTCTTTTTATTTTTAGGAATTATTGTGTTATAAGTAGGCATAAATGGCAATTTGGTTATATACATATATTTTGATGGTGTTGTTGTGTTGTTGTGTTTGTTGTTGTGTTATTACGAGTGTAACACTAAAACTGATTCACCCGAAAAAAGAGGGAGATTTAATATATTGTTTGTTTGTTTGATTGCTTGTAGAAATAGTTAAGCACTTCAAATAATTTTGGGATGTGTAAGTCTAATATTTAGACTTTTCCTATTTAATGCGAAATATTCTTAATAAATTGGGCAGTTGTTTTGCCTAATTGCTGGGCTAACACAAAATCTTTTAGGTACTTTATATTGTTTTTTTAAGCATAGTCTGTGAATTTGTATGTGCGAAACAAATCCTTGAAACAACTGAGATTATGGGTTTTAAGTTGCCAAGCTGCATGTCCACACTTGATAATTGATGGCACACGATAGAAGATTAATTCTGGTAAAAAGCTTTAACCATAAACACGCTCTGTTTGTGTATGAATAATCCACAATTAATTGGCTGCCACAAATTGAAGAATTCACTCCTGTTGATGGGGTTGAACGGGTCCGGAGATGTGGCTGCCGAGCTGCACACACATTTGCCATTAGCCAAAGTGGCCGCCGCATTCACACCTGGCAACGCCCACTCCGCATTGAAGGCAATTAATGTGCAAATCTCCAGCGAACTGTTTCCGACTGACTCCGGGGGCTCTGCTCGGCATCTCGCCTCACGTGTGCGACACGTTGTCACTGATGCGATGGATGGCCATCCACCAGTTTCTCCCTCGCTGACTTGGCAAGCTTTCCATTTCCCTTTGCTGCCACTGCTGCAGTATTCCTGATAACTTTTTCTTCAGCCATGGCTAGGACACAAACAAACTGCAGAGCGCAAAGGTGCACAGTGAGTCGCAGAACAGACTAGAGGAATAGTAAAATTCGCTTAAAAGAATATTAAATAAAAATACAAAAATTCTGCCTTTTTTAAAAGATTTTTGCATTAATTTTTTATTTTATTATGAAGTATTTTATGCAAATATTTATTTATTGATTGGTGTGTTTTTCTTTGGATTTTTCCATTTCTATTTGTGAAGGCACATTCCATAAAATTTTCCTTGCAATAAGCTGCTTATATAAGTATACTCAGACATTCCTTTTAAAGTTGCTCAAGGACTTCATTTAAATTATGATTAACCACTGTGCCCTGGTTCCAGTGGCAGTGAAAACAAACTTACTTAATTTCCGCTCATCCACGCAGGCAGACAGACAGACAGAGACACAGACACAAACACGTGCTCAAAGCGCCAGGAATGGGCGGAAAAGGGGCGGGTAGGGATGTACAATGTACATTCATCTAGTTAATACATACAGATAATGTTGATAATACTTGTTGAGTAAATTAAATCTAATGGAGCGCTCGTTCATCATTCGCTGGCACAGAGCAGATAACTTAATTAAATGTTTTGCCAACAAATGTTTGCCGCATTCTCAGCGGTCGAAGATGTCTTCGGCCATAATGGGAAAAAGCTAAAGATGAAGCGAAAGATAAAGCAAAAGATAAAGACAAAGATAAAGAAAAAGATAAAGCTGAAGCCGAAGCAAAATCTACAGCCATGGGCAGACTACTTTTACTTGTTGCGTCGCAGTTGTTCTGGATTTGGTTTTGCTTTCCCTGGGGGCCTAGTGCTCAGGGCCGCATCGTTCTGGCTAGGTCTGGCCTGCACATTTCACTTGCTAATGTTGTTGATGACTTTTAATTATAATTTCGCTGCTAGGCTACGGCAATGGCTGCTCATTTGGCAGCCCAGCCAAGTTCCAAGTTCCAACATCCACAGCCACTTCCCGGTTATGGCCATCAAAATGAACTGAAAAGTTTTGCGCAGTCAGCCGTAACCACTGCAGGCCTTTCAAGAGTCTCGTCTCTGTTGCCATGTTCCTTCCCCCCTCCCAACACTTTTATTACACTGTCTTTATGTATTTTGTCATCATCCACTTTAATTGGTCGATTAACGCCCACTCACCAGAGCCTGGGATCGGCTCATTAGCCAGCCTAGGAGGTGAGCCCGAGCCCGAGCCCCAGTCCGAGTCTTAGGTGTGCGACCCGCATGACCTCATAGCCTCATGGCCGGGTCCTGTGTCCCAGACACCCGTCTTTGATTTCACTTCATTTGATATCCTATCAGCACTAGGATATCTCAGTGTTCTGCATAGTTGA